CTTTCCCTTTCCCTTTCCCTTTCCCTTTCCCTTTCCCTTTCCTTTCCTTTCCTGAAACAATTCTTTAAAACTCAGAAACCTGCTTTGGATAAGATTGGGAAAGTGGGTTAATAACATGCTTTTTACCAGCCAATCAGAGTTATGCATAGAAATGACTACTCAGAATAGGATAAATGTCCTCCAAGGTTCAGTCTGGTAGCAAGGTGTGCCTGTAGTGTAATTACAGGTAGTCCTTGCTTAACGACAGCAATTGGGATCAAAACTTCCATCGTTAAGCGACGTGGTCGTAAAGTGCGACGTCACTTAGCGACAGCAGTTCTGGCAGTCCCTGGCTACTGTTGTTAAACAAATCACTGTGGGTCATTAAGTGAAGACTTCACGTGACTGCGACTTTCAAGATTTCCTGCCTGCTTCCCAGTGACTTTGCTTCTGGGAAGCTGGCAGAGAAGGTTGCAAATTCATTCATTCATTCATTCATTCATTCATTCATTCATTCATTCATTCATTTCTATGTCAAATTTGTCACTGCCCATCTCATTAAAAAACAACTCTGGGCAGTTTACAGAAAAGATAAATATTAATTAAAAATACAATATAACAATTTAATAATTTATCCTAAATAAATATTAAATATCTTCCAAGATAATTGATGGTAACTAAAAATGATAAAGCTCAGCACTGTCGTAAGTTTGCAAGGTTGTTGAATGAGTGGTTGTTAACTGAGGACCACCTGTATTTCCTGTCCAAAGCAGCATGCCCTCTGTTAAAAAGACAGATTATAGTACCCTTTCTGACAATGCAGTAGAAATTGTCTTTGCTCCATCAGATTTGATTTGATTTGATTTGATTTGATTTGATTTGATTTGATTTGATTTGATTTGATTTTCAGGTCTTATAGGCTATTCCAATCACAACCAATCCTGAATGTTGTCTAATGCTCCCTCTATAACTCAGATTAAAACAAAGCAATATGCAGTCAACAAATCAAAATGAAAGCAGTATGATTTTAATTATAAACCTGATATAATATGATAGTGTATAGTTGCAACCTACTCTCCCAATTAAAACCATGACTATCCTTCCTTGAATAAGAGACTTGAGCTCAAACCCACGTTTATTGATTTATTTGAACATCCTTTTCCCACTGCAGAATACTTATTTCCATGAAGTACCACTAGATGCTTTTCAGAACTATTCAAGGCTTGCTATAGTTTTGGAGCTTACGTGGATCAGCAGGGGTGGTTGAAGCGGGGGAAACTGAGGGACCCAGCATCTTAGGGCTCTGGGCGGTAGCTGCAGAGCTGAAGCTCATTTCAAAAGGGGCAACCGTTGGAAATGTGAATTGATTTGTTTTTGTAGGCAGAAGTCTTGTTGGAAGAGATTCGGCAGATGTAACTGTTGAAGGTGAACTGGGGAGACTCCTGTGTGCTCCAACTATGAACCAAGACAAAAAGAAACTTTGTGAGAGATGTCTGCTTTTCCACAATGGGTAGAATAAGTCATGAATTCTGGATTTTTGATTGTAGGTGACAGAACATATTTTGGAATGTCGCCTTCACTAAAAAGAAGGATCAGAACTTTGCTTTCCTATTTTCTTTTCCTTCTCCCTGTCCCTTCATCCCACATTTTAGGTTCATCCCTCATATGTTCTCCAGATCTTCTTCTTTTCTCTACTCCAGACTTCTCCACCCTGGTTTCCTCTAGCTGTGATAGGATGCAGCTTTCAGATTCCTCTCTGGCCATACTGTCTGGTGTCTGGAACATGGGTGTCAGGGAGGGGAATAAGAGGGGAAGTGACATCACATCCATCATGATGTCATCACACAAATGGCACCGATTACATCATTCACATTACTCTGATGATGACACCGTGGTGCACATGACATCATGGTGCCTTCTACTATGCATCTGGGGGTGGGAGTTTCAAATTGAAGAAGACCTATCTTACCAGATCATCATGCCCTTAAAAATATTCAGGAAGGAAAGGTATGCTGTGAGAGATACAATAAAGCAATGTACATTTGACTGACTAGTTCCTCTCTTCCCACTTCATCTAAGCTAACCCCTTGATTTATTTCTCACTGATACTTTTCATCTGTCTTTGGACCATTGCTTAACCAACTCAGTGGAAGGTCTCGTGACTGCATTTGTACAACATCTCAAGCTTGGTTAAACTTAACTTTGGTGAGGTTTGTGATGGTTTAGCATCTTGTCTGAACTTGGCCCATTTGGATCACTTTGGGGTCATCTGTATTGTCCGAATCCAGAAAAGGGGTTAACTCAATCACCAGGTTGAAAAAGTTGCAAGAATTCAGCTTTAGGGCAACTTTAACACTCTGTATCCATGTCAGCTCCACTAGGTTGGCCAGACCAGAAAATCAACTCCACAGGAAGACTAGAGTTATACTTTATGGAGATTGGCTATAATAACAGAATCCTGCAAGCCGAATTGTACTTTACTGCCCCACCTTCTTATACCCCAGTGAATCAGGGAAGTACCTTCCTGTGTCACTTCCAAATATTATCTTACTTTCCAGGACTTAGAGAAAGTTTCAGCCCTGTTTGGTTATGCAACATTCCTTGCATATGTCTGTCAAGGTCATCTCCCTTGCTTCTGGGGAACAGAAACCTCCATGGAACAATCCTTACCGGTGCTTTGATTGAGGGTAACTCCTTTGCCTTCCAAGGATCCAAACACTGCACGAATGCTGATGGCATATTGGGTGTTTGGTTTCAGATTCTTCAAGCGAGAAGAAAGGACCCGGCGGTCTAGGAGCTGGGTCTGAGGAATGCTTCTCTCTGAAACAGAAATGCCACCTCGAAGAGTAGAAGCTCTGAGGCCCTTATCAGATTCTGAAAATTGCAGTGAGCATGCCAATTATGTGCTATTTATTATAATAATAGAAGTAAGCATCGTTCATTTGCAAGGAATCCAGTAGATGCTTTAATCTAGATTCTTGCATGGAGCATCAAGTGAGTCTTGATAGCCTAAACAGCAACTTCACGTATGATTAGTTCATGTTCAGTGTATTGTACCAACCTAGAAAATGCAAGAACTAGAGTGAGGGGATTGTCTGAGCTTAGCTGCTGAGAATGCGCAGGTCATTCATCCTAGGTCTAGACACAACCAATTTCAACCTGTCACCCAACCAACCTTTATTATGAAGCATGCTGGCTTCCTCACGTGATCCAACTTAGGAAATAAACATGGAAAGCCACCATCCAAAGTCAGACCATTTCCATCCTGAACCCATCACCGCTGACACCTGAGAACCCTCTTTCTTAAGGCTACCCATTCTAGGCTGCAAACATCCCAATAATCTGTGTGTGTGTGTGTGTGTGTGTGTGCGCGCGCGCCCGCACGCACGCACCTTTGAGTTCATATCGATTCCTGGTGACTGTCTGGACAAGTCCCTGCAGTTTTCTTGGCAAGAGTTTTGGACATGGTTTGCCCTTGCCTCCTTCCCAGGGCTGAGAGAGAGGGACTGGCCCAAGGTCACCGAGATGGCTTTTGTGCCCAAGGCAGGGCTAGACCTCACAATCTCCTGGTTTCTAGCTTGGTCCCTTAACCACTACACCAAATGACCACTAGATGACATCAGACCCTTTTCTGTATCTCCTCTCTGCCATCTAATGGTTATCAGGATATTTGCAGCCTAAATCTGGGAGGCCCCCTCCCCAGAATTTCAGGCAGGTGTTTCTTCAGCTGTACCTGGAGTTTCTTTCTGGGGACAAACCAGGTGCTCCACCACTGAACGGCACTCCTTTTGTGTAATTTTGCAAACCACCCTGAATATAATGGGCCACTTGGCTCCTACCAATACTTTACTTGACAGAGCTGATTTCTACATACCTTGTCCTGATCCCACTGCCTTCCAGACTATCTTGTATTTGGTAGCCGTAGGAACGGTGCTCCATGCCAGAGAAATGGAAGTGCTTGTATATGAGGTCACCTTGAAATTTGAGACATAACCCAGAGGAGCTGTGAAGGAAATGCAAGAGACTGTGGTAACCCTAGACTTACTTACCCCTTGTTACTCCAACTGAAGTTGAGTAAAAACAAATAGTTCTAAGGAGAGAGTTCTAGGAGCATGCACAGAGTAAGTATTTCCCTTGGGGGACCTTCTGGGGTGGACCATATGCTTTGAAGCACCTTGACTGGAAATGGCTTTTGTTTGCTAATGACAAACAAAGAATTGCATGAAATCACTTTATTTATGTGTAAGAGTTCATTTTCTTGTAATCTTCAAGCCGATAAGAGCAGGGAGGACTAGGCACACCCCTAGGGGAAGAGTCTGTAGTGTTGAAGAAGTTGTAATCGATATCACTGATGCAATGATAACCGTTTGCCATTGTATTTCATCCCTCACCAAGGTGGTCTGTCCTTGAGAAAGTTCAAAAGTCTGCCTGATATTCATAAGGCTGTGCCGTGTAGCAATTCTGGATAAAGCAGGCAAACCAGCATCCTTCTTGAGCAGCCAAGAGCCAGCTTGAACAATACATTAGACCAGTGTTTCTCAACATGGCAACTTTAAGGTGCGTGGACTTCAACTCCCAGAATTTATTGGACTCTTCAAAAATGTTTTTAAAAAGTTGGATATCAGGTTTCTTGAAATTTGAGGGGTCTCCAACTCATACGATGGTTTCCT